GATCGCCGCAGGGATCCTCGACCCTGGGACTGCCGTAGGGATGCTCAGCTCTGGGATTGCCACAGGGATGCTCCACCCTGGGACCCCCGCGGGGATGCCCGGCCCCAGGAGCCCCACAGGGATGCTCAACCCTGGGACTACCATAGGGATGCTCAACCCCGGGAGCCCCGTAGGGGCCCTGGCTGCAAGCTGCTCCGCCAAGTCTCCTTCACTCAAGGACGCTGTAAATCCCCAACCGGCCCCTCCGTCCCGCTCCACGGCCCACAGCCCCACTCGCCGTCCCACGGCTCAGCGGATTTTCCCGGGAACAAGCCCAGCTCGCCAGCACCTTTCCTCTCTCCTTGCTTTTCATTTCAGGCCGGCATTACCGGCCAATGTTCCCGTGTCTTGGAGGGATTGGACCCTGGTTGTGGGGCTCAGCACCTCCTGCTGTGATTAAACCAGCCGAGACATTTGCTGCAGCTCAGATGTTTAATCAATGTCTCGTCTCTGCGACTGTCAGCGCCCAGCGTCCACCCGAGCATCCTCCGGCCCGTTTCATTGCCAAGAACCAGCCGCTCCCGAGACAGAAACACATTTTAGCTGTCAGGATGAAGCCTTGAGGCTCCCAAAATAAACCAGTGCCCCAGCAGGGGGGGGGACGGGGACGGATGGACGGGTAATGGGATTTCTTCTGGGGTGCAGAGCCGCTGCAGCACAGGCAGCATTAACTTGCAGGCTGCATCGATCAGCACACGGCGCTGGCGGCTGCCACCCGTCAGGCGGAAATCATGGCTTTGCCGGGGAAGAGCCATGTTCTGTTTAATTAAAGGTGTCGATTTGCAGCCAGATGGGCCGGGAATTGGCCATCTCTGCTGTCCCATCACTGGCACAGCTCCCCCGCCATGGCAACTGGGTAGGCGGCAGGATGTAGCCCTGGGTCGGTTTGCCCTGTGCCTCGTCTGTGCGCCCACCACGGGCGGGCATCCTCTCCCACTCCTGCACTGTGCCCACCCTGTTCTCGCAGGTGACACAGAGATGCTCAGCCCCTGGACTACCACAGGGTTCCTCGGCCACCTACAACATTTCAAGGATGCCTGGCCCTGGGACCACCCCAGGGATGCTCAGCCCCCAGACCACCACAGGGACACTCAGCCCCTGGACCACCACAGGGATGCTCGGCCACCCTGATCCCCACAGGGATGCTCGGCCCCAGAACCACCTCAGGGGTGCTCAGCCCCCAGACTACCACAGGGATGCTCAGCCCCCGGACCACCACAGGGACGCTCAGCCCCTGGACCACCACAGGGATGCTCAGCTCTGGAACTACCCCAGGGATGCTCAGCCCTGGGAGCCTCCCCACAGGGATGTTCAGCCCTGGGACCCCCACAGAGATGCTCAGCCCCCAGACCATCCCAGGGATGCTCAGCCCCCGGACCGCCCCAGGAATGCTCGGCTCCAGGACCACCACAGGAATGCTCGGCCCCTGGACCACCACAGGAATGCTCAGCCACCTTGACTACCACAGGGATGCTCGGCTCTGGGACCACCCCAGGGATGCTTGGCCACCTGGATCCCTACAGGGATGCTCAACCCTGGGACAGAGATGTTCAGCCCTGGGATCACCCCAGGGATGCTCAGCCCCTGGACCACCACAGGGATGCTCGGCCACCCTGATCCCCACAGGGATGCTGGGCCACCTGGATCCCCACAGGGATGCTTGGCCCTGGACCGCCCCAGGGATGCTCGGCCCCCCTGATCCCCACAGGGATGCTCAACCAGCTGGATCCCCACAGGGATGCTCAACCAGCTGGATCCCCACAGGGATGCTCAACCAGCTGGATCCCCACAGGGATGCTCAACCAGCTGGATCCCCACAGGGATGCTTGGCCCTGGACCGCCCCAGGGATGCTCGGCCACCCTGATCCTCACAGGGATGCTGGGCCACCTGGATCCCTGCAGGGATGCTTGGCCCTGGAACCACCCTGGGATGCTCAGCCCCTGGACCACCACAGGGATGCTCGGCCACCCTGATCCCCACAGGGATGCTCAACCACCTGGATCCCTGCAGGGATGCTTGGCCCTGGACCACCCCAGGGATGCTCGGCTCTGGGACCACCCCAGGGATGCTCAGCCACCTGGATCCCCACAGGGATGCTCAGCCCGCTAGGACCACCGCAAAGAAAACCCTTCCCAGTGTGCCCACTCCTGTTATAGCACCACATAGCACCGCATGCTCGGGAAGGGCTGCCAAACCCAGCAGCCGGTCCCGTGGGGTGCAAGGGGCATCGGGGGCGCGCGGGCTCACCTGGAAGCTCTTGGCGTTGAGGCTCTTCTGGCTCTCAGCAGCCACCCTCAGCCTGGACTCCAAACCCTTCATCAGGGACTCGGTGTTGCGCACGTACTGGAGGTCCCGGTAGGTCCGAAGGTCCAGTACCTCCATGGACTGGGAGATGTTCTGCACCTGCACGGTGGGATGGGGGATGCAATAAAGCCCTCGGTCTAATTAACACAGCTCCCTGATGCTAACAAAGAGACCTGAGCCGGGGGCGGATTTGGGGTGCAGAAGCGGAGAGGGGATGGAGAAGGGAGAGCAGCCCCCAGGACCAGCTCAAGGCCACCGAGTGCTGGTGGGGACACGGCTCCATCCTGGTGTCCCCGTCCCCAGGGAGCCGCGGGACGAGCTGCTCCCCGCTCCGCCGCACCAGTGTTTATGCAAACACTCATGAAGAAAACTCTCCCCCCTGCAGCTTTAATGCATAAAATAATGCGTTTTACCCATCTTGCTTCAGCTGCTATTTGTTTTGTGTTGTTTTTTGGGGTTGTTTTTTTTTTTTTTTTTAACCATCCGAGCGCACATTTCCCAGCTCGGGCTATGAGCTTTCATTCTTTAATTTCATCTGCCGCAGCCGGCAAAGTGATTTTCTTTCCAGCCTTTCAAATGACGCGAACGTGGCTGTGTTCCTCAAACGGTTATTTATTTATTAGTGCCGGCCCCGCCGGTATTTACGGTGCCGCCGCCTCCTCGGAAGGGAGCTGCTTAAAGAGGCATTTTTTTTCAGTGCTTTATAATAAAAGTTTAATGGGGTTTGCGGTGCGCCCGCCCGGGCGGACGTGTGAAAACCAGGGGGACACTAAATGAGCTCCGTTCGGGCACGCGGCTCCACACCATGGGGCTGATGGGGAAAGTGCCGGGAGCGTGGACCCCCCCTTCTCCGTGGGAAAGCGCACGTCCCCCGTGTCGCACGAGGAAACCACCCGGCGCTCCATCAAACAGCATTTGGCTCACGGGGCTGCAGGATGAAACCATGCTTGGGATTTATCTCGGGGCTGATTATATCTCAGTGATGGCATCACCACGTGCCGGTGGCACCGCAGTGGCGTGGTGATGCCCTTCCCGCAAACCGAATGGCCACGCGGGAGGATGCGACCGCTCCTCTTTGCGGTGGGATGCCGGAGCGTTGAGGATGCTCGGACCGGAAAAAAAGGAGGGAGGGAGGGAGCGCCGCGGGTGTCCTGGCGGGGATGTGCGTCACAGGGGAAGGGAAGAGCCCACGGAGGTCCACGCTACCGGGTGTGCGCATCCTCCCTCCCACAAATGAACCGGGCTCGGCCGGTAACACCGATTAATGCCGGGTCGGCCAACGCTCACCTTCTCCATGAGCTGGCGGAGCTGGTGGCTGCGCAGGTCGCGGGAACAAGTGCCCTGGACGGGGATGACGGCCGTGCAGAGGCATTTGCCGTCGGGGGCTTGCGCCGAGGTGTAAACCTGCCAACCCTCGTCGGGGCTCTGGAAAAGGGTCTGCGGGAGAGAGGAGGGGAGATATCAGGGTGCCGAAGGATGCCAGAGCCGCGCCCGTGCTGGGCTCCCCACGCCTGCCCGGGCATCCCCAAAATCACCGGGGCTGAGGTAGGGCCAGCAGCACGGCATCGCTGTGGCAAGACTCCGGAGCATCCTTCCCTCCTGCCGTCACCTGGATGGGGACGAGCCAGCGAGGGAGCAACGTCCCGGCGCCGGGAGGAACCCACCAAACCCTTCTCGAACCATCACCATGCGGTGCCTCACCACGGCGCTGGCAAAGCCCGGTGCCGAACACGTGCCGCCACGGCACGGCCCCCACGGTGCTGCCCTGCTCGCCACCACCTCCCACGCAGCTCCTCCGAATCCCGTTCTCATCCCGGCAGATCTGAGCCGCTTCGCATTTTTCCCCTCCTTTTAGGTTTTTATCCAGGTCATTTAATTTTTCTCCCTCTACGAGACTCATTTCGCCGCAGCGATCTGCTCCAAATACGGAGATTTCGGCTTCCCAGCAGGTCCCGCGCTGCCGGGCCGGCCGCGAAACCACAGCGGGACGGGAGGGAACGACGAAGTAACGCTCTTCATCATCTCCCACCGGCCACCTCCGCATCCCTCCTCTTCCTCCAGCAGACCCAACCCAGTGTTAATTCCCACTAATAGAATCCCCAAACCTCCCCCCCCGCCTTCCTCCCCTTCGCCTGATTTATTCACGCCGTAAGCCGGTGTTTTTGCGCTGGGCCATTTAGCATTTCATGGGTAATTCATAATTATTAATTATGAAAATCCAGAGCAAACTCATCGCTCTCCAAGCGCCTTCTGCATCGAGCCGGGTGAAGATAAATGACCCGTTCCCTGTAACAAGCCGGGGACGATACTTTACTTTACACGCCGCGGTTTTAACTTCATGTTTCACATCGGAAGGGATTTATTGGACACGGCGGCGGCGAAACCCCGTTCTCCAACCTCCAGCGCAACCAGAATAAATTAACTGACGGCGGCGGAAAAACTCGCCCTGAGCCGAGTAAATTCCTGAGTTATCGCAGGGGGAGGTAAATAGAGGATTTTTTCCGCCCAGCTCCAACGCAGCGGAGATGGGGGCCGGGAGCTCTCGGCAGCCCCGGCTGGTGATGAGCCACACCGCGGGGTAACGAGCCACACCGTGGGGTAACGAGCCCTTAGGAAGGCACCGCGGCATCGTGCCGGCTGCTACGGCAGGTGAACCAATCCCGTGAGCGATTATGGGATATACACGCCGGGAAAGACTTGATGCACGGCGCTGTGCAGTCCCACCCACCCAAAATTGGGGTCCCCGCGGGCAGGAGGGGTTTCCCCCCTCAGCTGCTGCGGGCACCCACGGCGAAAACACCCGCAGCCGGCACCGGCACCATCCTGGGAGCA